GGTTTCAGCACCCACTTTATGAAACTCTTTCCCCAAAAGCATTTTTTTCAAGCCTTGCTTGTTTCAAAGTAAAAGAAAAGCCCATGTCCAAACACAAAAGAAGTCCAAAACAAGACCAAAAAAAAAATGTACAGAAGAAAACAGCCAAAAAAATAAAAAAGTTCAAATGAGGGCCTTACTCCTTTCTTCCCCGGAGAGTCACCCAGGGCTGCGACAATGGCAAAGTATTGAATGACTCGCTTGGTGTTTACAGTCTTACCAGCACCAGATTCTCCGCTTAGAGTAATAGAAATACATAGATCAAGAACATGAAGCAGCTCCTATCAAAGATTATACAGATACAAAGAAACAGCCAAGTAACATCCCAACTACCCAGAAACATATAATAGAGTTGGGAACATGGCAGAGTAGGGCGAAAGAAAAGAAAGAAAAGAAACTATAGCCAGCCTTCATAGTCCCAGGTCCTAAGTTTATTATGGGTTGATGGGATTTAGCATACAGGGTACAGTGACTTATTATTTGCATGCAGAAAGATCCTAGGTTCAACACCTGGCATTTCCAGATAGGTCAAGTAACAGACCCTGCCCTTAAACCTTGGGGAACTGTTGACAGTTAATAGACCACTATACTGTACATGATGGACCAATGAGCTCCATTGTTATAAGGGAGCTCCTTACATTCTTGTAAGATAATCCAGGACAGAAGTCTCTTAGAAGAGAACAGACTATGAAAGAAGTCTGCCCAAATATTGTTTTTGAAACCGCATTGAAGAATTTTGCCCATGCTAATTCAGTTTTGCCTATCTGAAGTACAATTCTGTGGACCAGATTTGTGTGTGTGAAGCAGTTTTGCTAAAAGATGTTATTTGATGTCATGTGCAGAGAACTATTTAGAATTAGATGCACCTAAATTGGGCATCTAATGCATCTGGAAAGACTGCCATCTTGGAGCTATTACAAGATGAGCTTTGCTTTGGAGATGATTTATTAGGAGGTGGAAACAAAGTGGATGTGCCAATACATTTTTAATGTCTCTATTTGTCATGGACAAGGCTGAATGGTCTCATAGGTGATTAACAATCTTCTAGGAAGGAAGAGAAGTCCTCAGGGAAGAACTGAGTATATGCAAAGCACTTCACCATAACTTTCCATTCACATCTCCACTATCTTGGAGGCAATCCCACCATCTTGAAGAATAACAGGTCACCTTTATTCAATTTGTACAAAGTACAGAGCCAATCATGGAAAAAGTTATTTTTGGAGATGCCATGTTAGCTTGGAGAAGGACTGAATCTGACAGTTGTACTCCATAAAGTTAACTTTTCCAAGCTCTGGCTTCCCAAATTCCCCACACTACCCTTGTGTATGCCAATACACATTTAGTGATTTTAAAAAAAAAATAAAACAATAGAAAGTGCATTTAACTACTCTTGCAAATTATTGCTGAAGTAACAGAGAGAGGATAGATCTTGATAGTCTTATAAAAGAAACCTCCCCAAAGTTTAAATATGTCCCTACAACAGAAGTAGATCCTCAAAAGAGAGAAGCTCTGGCTCAGGTCCAGCAGGATAGCTCCAGGGTCGAGGCTTCTTAATCACTCATGCTAGTATCACTCTACCATCCTCCCTTGTGTCTACAAAGCCCTCTGGCACTGGCCTGGCATTGATTTCATGCCTATAGTTAGCTGTTCTTCCATTGTAATCCCATCACACAAAGAGCCGTGTTCATAGGGGTGGGGGAGAGAGAACTCTGCAGGACAAGAGCCAAACATCTCATGCTCTCAGCCTCTGCTTTACCTAATTAGGCCATGGACAAGGCCAGAAGCATCAGGAGCTTCTGGCATCATATTAGACTTTATATAGCCTCCTCAATATGGCTGTTTCAGCTATCATGTCTCTACCCTGCTTGTTCCACACAGTTGGGCTTCGGTAGACTCCATCCCACAACCCCTTTCTTTGCCTCAGTTCTGCCCATTTTTGCTCCTTATCTTTTCTCTCTTGTCCTGTCAGCCTCATGCTCTTTCTGCCTCCATACAAAGCAGCAGCTTCAAAGCAGCTTCATTTATATACCGCTTATATTGCACTATGGAATGTCTAAAAGGCTTACAACTGTAAACTCATTGCCCCCCAACAGTTCGGTACTCATTTTAGTGACCTCGGAAGGATGCAGGCCTGAGTCTAGCCTGAGTTTCTGCCTCCATACTCAGCTTTCACCAAAATGTTCTCTTATCTTCAAGTTGTTATCAAATAAGCAAAGCCTAGGAAAGTTATGGATTCTTTTGGACTACAATTCCCATGATCACCAGTTGCTATGCTGGCTAGGGGATTTTCTGGGAGAAAAATAATTTTTCAAGCTCTTCTCATGGGCTACCCACATCCTGTTTCTCTTCTCTTCCACAACCACATAGACACTGCTGCCCTGTATCCTTGAGTATTGACTCTATAAGTTCCATGTGTTACTCTCACAGAGTAGTGTTTTGTTCTTCAAGCTCTTGTTCAGGTGACCTGCACAACGTGTTATGAATGAAATCAAATGCAGTCCACTAAGAATGTTTGCTAGCTTACCTCTACAAGGGAACTGATAAACCTGGTTCTATTGTGTGGCAGTGACTGCTATAACTGAGGAGTTGTTGTCAGGTATTGCTGGAACTAGTTTAATGGTTCACAACAAAGCTCTATGGGCTTGTTCTGATTCTATACCCTAGTAGGTTCATGGATACTTTAGGAACATAGTTGGGGATATGAGCCCATGTAATTGGGATTTTTCATAGATCTTTGCCCCTGTTGGAATAATTAGACATCAAAGAACAGATGGTGGAGACAGGAAGGAGAAATTCACAAAACTATGAGCAATTCAACCATATACTGACAGAAATTTTCTGTCCCACATTTTTTTGTTGACATTGTACTCCTGGGATGGCTATAGCAGCTGTTAGTTGATATGTAAGAGCCAAAAAATCTGTTCTTGGTGTGTGTGTGTGTGTGTGTGTGTGTGTTGCATGTGTGCTTAGAGAACAAATTAAAAAGAGGGAGGGAAGGAGTATAAACACGCACCATTGATCCTTAAATATTTTGCAGTATGCTCAAATAATTTGACTTTCTTTCTCAAAAGGGTGACATGCTATATTCTCTCTGCTTACTATTGTTTTCATGTATAGTCAACTATTATGGACCAGAAACGACTACCTGGACCTCAAAAATTAAACTAAAAAAATAATGAAATAATAGCATAAAGACAGTACTTACGTGATGAGCATAGACTGATTCTCACGATCTGAAAGATAAGGAGAAAAGTGACCCTCAACACCCTAGCATACATGCTCTTATCATGTGCAAATTTGTAGTTTTTACTTCAGTGATTCTTGCTAAGAAAAATTAACACTGTGACTTACCCACTCACTTAGCAGTTTTATGTTTTATGGCCGCATTTCCATATACATTCTCATAATCTCAAGGGCAAATTGAACTATACTCCTGTGTAGACTATAGTGAACATAAGACAAAGGGCAGCAGAGAACACTTGGGAGCTAAATCCAACATTGCCCCACTGAGAGCAGAGCTACTAAAATGAATCAGGACTCTTACTCACAATTCACTTATGTCCAACCGTTATTACTGGGTCTATCTTAGCTAGGACCACAATGAGCTCATGATACAGAGGCGAACTGTAGAAAGCACACTTGCTGCATCTAAGCAGGTCAAACTCTGATAAGTGTCTAAATGAGAAACTTCTGTACAGCTGATTACAATTGCACCATGAAAGGAAGATAGTATACAAATCTAAACAAAGAAATTGTAATAAAATCTGCTATCCCTGCTCCTGATCTCCACTCACTTATTCAAAGGTTTTAAAATAGCCTATAAGATAGTTATATGAGTGTTGGCCTTGCATGACCAAGATTCCCATAAAAATCAGGTCCCTGAATACATGTACTTTTATATGCATGCAGGTTCTGGATGAACACATGGAGGTGAGGGTTAGAATCCCAATACCCAAATGCGTACAGGTTCACTGAAAATGCACATACACTAAAGAAATATAGGTCTGTCAAAATGAAGAATCCTGGCTTGACCCATTAGATGTGATCATGTGGATAGATAGATAGATAGATAGATAGATAGATAGATAGATAGATAGATAGATCATATCTAATGGGTCAAGCTAGAACTCATGTATGTGTCTGTCTGTCTGTCTGTCTGTGTGGGAGAGGAAGACTGAAATATGCACTACACATTACTTTCTGCATTTGAAGTGGGGTGCAATACCTTTTCTTCTGAATATTTGGTTAGGGAGTTTGTACAAATGACTGGTACACATAAACAACTGAACGCATGCATGTCTTTTGAGCCATGTAGCATTAGATGTTTCAGTCACAGAAAATTGGAGCCTACTACTTCTATGACTAGAAAACCTTCAGGTTACATTTTTCTAATAATAAAAATCACTAAAACTCTTCTACATTATCTGTGCTTCAAATAATTTACACAGAGTGAGAGAAAACTATTGTGATAATTAGGTCTGCCTTACCTTTAGAAGCTACTTTTAAAAGAATGAAAATAATTACATGGTGAAACCATAACTGAATAGTGGTAGGATGATGGTATGGAACTAATTGTTCTTTAAAGTAATTTTTCAAGTTGTGCTTCTGGGAAGAAAGACTATGGAGATTATTGCACTCAATATGAAGTGACCTATCCCCAAAAGGATGCAGTCGCATTTAATTTTAATAGAGGGTATTATCACTCCCGTTTTTGAAAAGTGGCTGGCTAAGCGTGGCTGGGCTCCAGGCTGCACCTGGGTTGCAGTCACCCGGCCTTGGCTGCATGCAATAACACCCAATATTAAAACTAAACATGACTGTATCCTGTTGGGGATAAGCCGCTTTATATTGAACATGATTATCTCTTATTTTCTTCATAAAGAATATTGGCAAGAAAAGTAGATCTCATGTGTCAGTAGGAATGCAGAGCAACTGAATATGGATAGACTAATATTAAAAGAGCCATCATGGTGTAGTGGTCTGAGTGCTGGACTCCAACTCTGGAGTCGAGGGTTTGAATTCCAGTGATGTTCTCAGTTTCAGAGGATGGCAATAGCAAACTCTTTCTGAAGAAATTTGCCAAGAAAGCTCCATGATAGCTTCACCTTAGGTTTGCCATAAATCAGAAATGACTTGAAGGCACACAACAACAAACAATCTTGGGGAACTTTTCAGGTTTTTTGTGGGGGGGGGGTTGGGGTTTTTTTTTTTTTTTGGTTTCTGGTTTAGTATGTAAGGGAGAAGTTAGTTTTCATTTCATTTCCTACAACAATTTCATGAGAGGACAGATGTAATACTTACTGCGTAACATGTCATTGTAGGCATTATCTGCAATGGCATAAATGTGAGGTGGGACCTCAGACCTCCGCTTGCCCTTATAGGCAGCGACAACAGAAGGAGTATAAACTGGAAGCCATTTATATGGATTTATGGTGACACAGAACAAGCCTGAATAGGTCTGAAGGAAAAGAAACAGCATAATTATCATGAATGTAATCAGGGTTGGGATTGGAGGTAGGCATCGTTAGGTACCTGCCAAGGCCCCTATTCTGGCAGGAACTCACTGTCACCCTTGGAGCCCTGGCCAAGCTTCTTCTTCCTTGCTTTCATATCCTGCTCATTTGTGCTCTCTACAACAGTGATAGAATTCAATGACATAGCTGTGTTAATATGGAGAATCAGTATGCATTCAGCACCTTTGAGACTAACTAAGAAAGAAGCTGGTAGCATGTTTTCAGTTAGTCTCAAAGGTGCTACAAGATGTCTAAGAAAGTGAGAACTGGCAAAAGAGGAGCGATGGGACAAGTCCTCCACATGACTCTCCCACTCCAATTTTGTGGGGTTGCGCCCAAAGAGAAACCAGTCACTCCAGTTAGGAGAAAGTTGGCCCACAAGGAGGGAGCCCAATGAAGGCATCTTAGCCAAGAGCTCCCCAAAAGCTGCAGCCCATACTAAGGGTCATACATGTACCACTATTTCCTGACATTAGTGATGGTACACCAGTCAGTAAAGTCAAAATATCACAGTGTACCCTCACCACATTTCTAGTTCATGTGTGATTATTCTTCAGGAACACATTATGACTAGCTGTCCTAAAACTTAACATAGCTGAAACAGAAGATAATTAAAAATTCACCTTTCTGAAATCTGTTTGCAAGAAGCCCCTTTACTGACAACCAAACTGAAACTCATGCTTCAGAACTGCAGAAAGTGTATGTTATTTACTCACATTTCCCAATTACATTTCAAGCATTCTCAAATACACACACACACATCCAGGACTTATCCCATTTTCTAAGTGCAAGTCTAATCAAAGATCTCAAGCAGCTAACCACATGGGTTTATAGGCATAAATGCCTAATATATCATAGAAGTTAAAGGTGAGGAATTTCACAATACCAAACTTGCTTTTTGAGCTAAAGTAAGATAATATGGGAAACAACACTTTGCGTGAAGAGAAATCTCTTGTGGCTGGTACAGCTAGATGCAGATATTCACATAAACACTGTAATGAATTCCAGAGAGTTCACTTGTTTTACTTACATAGATCATCCATTTGCCATAACGCCGTTTCAGGTTATGCAACACTGAAGCCTCATTGAGGTGAGTTAACATAGCCATATCCTCAATCATATCAAATTTGGGAGGATTCATTTGTTGAATGTCATCCTCTTTAACAACACGAGTCTGCAAGGAATAAAAAAGAAAAAAGGATTTTGCTGAAGAGATTCTTCATGATACTGCAGGACACTGTCGAATTAATTTTTTTCAAGAAATCTGAATTTGCTTGTTTAAACTTAAAATAATGTTTTCCTACCTCATTACAGGTGCAGAATCGAGCATAGGATGACTGCATCATCATCAGTTACTGCTATAGGCATCAGTTATTTTATACTTCTAGTATTTAATGACTAATTGGCTCACTTTATTTTTTTCCTATTGCAGTCTGTGTGCTTATAGAATATAGCTACAGATGTAAATTAAATTAATTTTCTTTCAGCCTTTTTGTATTACATCATGCAAAAATGGCTGGGCAGATTGTCACCAAATTTAGAGGTTATCTTTGAGATAGTGTGACTTAAAATATAGGCTATGAAGTGTACATGAAATACACCCAATTATATTATTCATTGCATTTTCACTAAATTTGGAAAGTATGTTTGATAGTTTGACTATAAGCCTTGTGGCATTCGGAAGATTCACTTTAAAGGGCCTGGTAGGCACCCCAATTATTATTTTTTCATTCATACAGGATAGTGTGACACATCATTGGAAAAATTTTGATGAGCTGGATTCAGGAAAACATTTTTGAAGTTTTCTTATAACTATATAAGGTTAAAGGGGATATAAAAGAGGTGTTTGGGATGTGTATGAGACATATCCAAGCCTCGTATCCTCCTACTGTCCAACTTGAGTAAATCCTCCATTGCTCTGCTTAGATATCATAGATTCAGGCCCGTGACCTCCCTAATTGAGTCTAGCCATCTGGCATGTGGTTTTCTCTTTCTCTTTCTACTACCTTCTACCTTTCCTAGTATTATTGGGTTTTTTCTAAAGTACAACACCCTCAATTTGATCATTTTGGCTTTCAGGGAGAGGTCAGGCTTGATTTGTTCAAGAACTCATTTGTTTGTTTTTTGACTGTCTACAGTATTCTCAGCATTTTTCTCTAGCACCTCATCTCAATGAATTGATTTTCTTTTTAACCACTTTCTTCACTGTTCAGCTCTGACATTTATACATGGTGACAGGGAATGCAAGAGCTTGGAGAATCCTAACTTTAGTGCTCAGTTGTATAGCTTTACTCTTTAGGATCTTATCTAGTTCTTTCAGCACTGGCCTTCCCATTCCTAGTCTTCTTCGTATTTCTTGACTGCAGTCTCCTTTCAGATCCTTGCAGTGATCCAAGGTATGGGAAACCTTTAACAATTTCAATTCCTCATTGTTTAGGTTGAATTTTCTTTATGTTGAGCAACAAGACTGCCTTTGTACTTTCTTCCTTGACCTTCCTTACTAATTGTTCCAAGTCCATGTTTCCCGCTAGTAACTACAACTGTTGTATGGTGTAAATATACCATAGATATGTGTGTGTAGGCATATCCATATTTTGGCCAACTGAAATAAACTGCTTCATGCAACTGATGAGGTGGAATCTAGTCTACTAAGGTTTATGCCCAAATAGATTTGTTAATCCTTAAAATGCTACATAAAAAACTTGAGCTGTTGGACAACACAGAATGGTGTCTATTTAAAATAAACATGGGTCTAAATCCTATTGTTAGTCCTACCTAGAATAGAGACATTGACTCAACTGGCTTTACGTACACATTGACTCACTATTGAACAACTAATTCAACTGAGTTACTCAAATTGGATAGTGTTCGATATAAACAATTTCACCCATTCTTTTGGCAGACTAACATGGATATCCCTCTGGAAGACAATTCCTATTTGTTACCAATGACTTAAACTTTAGTTTAGCTTTAATTTAGTTAAACTTTAGTAATTAATAAAGCACAATATTTAACAGATCCCATTTTAGGTGTCATTGTATAATGTACATTTTGATTTTGTTTTGCTCTGTTTCTCTGATCCCACTAAATATAGGCACATACACTCATATAGTCCTAGAATTATGTGGTAAGACTTCCAACTCAAAACTCAGTGAACAAAACAGATACTGCACAGCATGATTAATATTTTTCTTCCTGCTCCCCCCAAAAATGAATGCCAGGGTCAGGTTAAGTCTTGTGCCAGCTAGAATTTGCAAAACAAACAAGACAAAACAATGCCACCCCTTCACAACTTTCAATAACCCCAGATGAGAATTATATCCAAAAAAGTAATTTTGTAAGCTCTGGTGCAGACATTGCAATGCATACAGTGAGAGAGGGGAGGAATAACATGCATATTTTCTCCACACCCCTAACCTCCACAGATTCAGATTAATATCTGTACAAACAGATGATGCACTGTAATGTATGTCTCTTTCAGCAAACCCAGGAATCCAAAGTTGCTGCTGATGTTCTGTGCTTACAAGTTATTTCTGACTTATGGTGACCCTAAAGAAAATGCATCATGGGGATTTCTTGGCAAGATTTGCTGCCTCTGAAGATAAGAGAATGTGATTTGCCCAAGGTCATCCAGTGGGTTTTCATGGCTGAGTGGGGATTTGAACCTTGATCTCCAGAATCCTAGTCCAACACTTAAACCACTGCACCATACTGGCTCAGGAATCCAGAGCCTTGCCCCATATTCCCAGCTGCTTGGAACGTGCATGTTAGCTCTGTGGAGCTGTTCAAGTCAACATCTGGAATTTGTAAGTGGAAACAATACATGCAGTTGTATTTTCCTTCATGTTCCTCCACTTCCATAATGTTTTCCCTATAATGATGAAACAAGCAATGAAGCCTGAAATGGAGAATTACATTCTGAATATGTACATCAGCTTTCCATTGTTTTTCTTTCTTTCTATCTTTAACAACAGTTTCTCATTTTTTTTAAAAAAAAATACTGTATTTTACCCTCTTTAAAAGATGATGCAGGAGTTGAGTTCAAAAAGCTAAATTATGGATTCAACGTGAATGCCAGGTTTTATTCTGATATTTTAGAGTGTAAGGCTAACAGACTGGAATTAGGAGTGTACACACGTAAAAGTGACATCAAATGAAGATAACTGGCTGGTCTATCACCACTTAGATGCTATATATAATAAATGTTTGCCAAAAATGTTCATGTCTGTGAACATTGTTTGATCATGGAGTATTCTCTTGAGAAGCACAAATATTTCTTCCTTACATTTTACAAGAAAGAGGGCTGGCAATCACTGATCAAGGATGTGTTTCCTGCAATGAAACATGATCCTTGCAAGTCTGTAATCCTAGAATTTCAATTCCATCATTCTGTGAAACTAAATTCTGTTTATGGTACTAGCCATACCAATAAACAAGATATTGAGTCTCCCTTATTCAAAATGGTTGGAACCAGAAGTGTTTTGGATTTCAGATTTTTTCAGATTTTGGAATATTTGCAT